CTAGTAGGTAGGTCGGTGGGTGGCTGGGTTGGTTGGTCGGTAGGCAGTTGGATAGACAAATAGATAGATTGATAGTGATGCCATGCAATCTGTACAGACACGTGGGCACCAGGATGCTGGTTTTGTTCGTTCATGATACAGAGGCAGGCAGGCAAACTTATATGACAGTCCATTCCAGTCTGCTACACGACACGACAGAAACATTACATTGCCTCAATTTCACACCTTGCATGACACTGCATTACACGTCACGACATAGCACAGCACAACACAAGATTGTATCACACTACATTACATTGCATGACATTCCACTACATTACATAGCATCACAGTATTACGTTACATTATGCTATGCTACACTGCATTATGCTACATGACATCATTACATTCCATTACATGCATTGCATTACACCCGCTCAGGCTCAGAGTTCTCCGCGTATATAGAAGCCACCTTGTTGACACCAACATTGGTATGTATGGTCGTTCTTTCGCCATACTGATGGGGACAACTCTGAAAAGTCAGGCCGCAAGCTTGCGATGGACCATGTTTTCGCCATGATGGGGACACCTATGACAAGTCAGGCCTCAAGCTTGTGATGGACCATGTTCCGGACATGCCCCGATGAAGCCGGGCTCACGGTGACAAGTCCAGGGATGGGAACAGCTACGCGAATTCAAGACACACGCGCGCGCACATTCTACGACTACGACTGCTGCGTCCGATTTCGCAAACTTAATGGCACATTGCAACCTCAAACCCCTCTCCACGAGCCCCACAAAATCTCTTCAGTTGAGTGGCCGAAGCTCAAAGCCTCCGGTGTCCACTAAATGTGTCGGAGTGCCGGTGAGCTCCTGAGGTCTTGAGGGAACCTTGAGTTTTTCGAGGGCTGTGCGCTGCTGGGCATATTTCTGAGCTTTGCCATAGGATCAGCAATACCAACGAATTGAAAGCAGTAGGGCCCCCTAGCTTAAACATGCCCAGTGGGGCCAGAGCAGAACTGGTGCCTTGAGAGTCTGCGTGGGCCGCACCAACGTCGGCATGGCCGCAACTAGGCAAAAAGCGCCCCCGGAACTCTTCGGCTGAAGTGACGGGCGCGTCGTTACTTCGACTTGTCTATGGCTGCAAGCGCCAGGCTCAGGCACTGGGCCAGCCTCAACTCTGAGCTTGTCGCATACTGGGAGCGAAGAAAAGCCCTCAATTCCAAACCACTTTCGTGTCTTCCGTCTTCGGGTCTCTTGAGCCGCAGTGGTCGAACTCTGTCTCCACTGTTCAGGGTTGAGGTTTGCCCGCCAAAGCTCGGTCTGGCTCCGACACGTGCAAACCTCAAGCACAAACATCTTTGGTTCCTCGGTCATACGGCTTTACGCCGCGGATGCTGAACTCCACCACCGTACAGCTGAAAACTTCCAGTAACGGTTCCCAGAAAACTGTATTGCAGCAAACCGTACAGAACTGCAAGAATCAAAGTCTGGCAAACTGCTGAGGCGGCTAGTCACCATTCATGTTGTCCATACTCTACAGCCGGCAAGCTCTTGCAAGGAGCTGTGGAAATCAGGATTTAGGGCTCGCTTGCGACAAAACCCTGAAGGTACCCCACGAAACCTGGTTGTCAACGCGTCACGCACACCTAGGACTCTTGTTCTCTGTTGCTAATGCTTCTACGGTCCGTTGCCACAAAGACTTTATTGATTCTTTGCACCTAACTTGAAAAGCCTCAACTGCAGCCGTGGTTTTCCGCCGATGTTCTGTTCCCGCTTCGCTGCATCTCGCCTGTGCCTTGATCTGTTCGACAAGCGATAGCCTTGCTTGCAAGCATCTGTTGCAAGACCTGAAAACCCACAACGCTTCTTAACTATACTGTGTTTCAGGTGCGCACTTCGGAGGGAACTATACTTTTCTAACGACACGACAACATCAGATGATTGTGCGCTCCTGTAACACTGCGCAGTGGAAGAAATGGCGGCCATCCTTCGATGACGCGACCCTTGAGAAAGCTTACCGGCGTGGGACACAGGATACCATTACGCTTGCAGCACCTTGTCGCCTGCTTACTGTTGACTACCATCAAGCCAAGCGATTTTGGGGAGAGAATCAACCTCAGAACCATCACAAACCCTAGAATCCAGAGAATCACAAACTCTAGAATCCAGTCAGGGTCCATAGGTCTATCTATCTATCTATCTATCTATCTATCTATCTATCTATCTCGCCTTCAGGACATCTTCGACTAAATTGCAGCGGTATGCCCCAAACCCTATGCGCACTTCGGCTTGCTCAAGGTGGCGCTACATGGATCGCGGTTCCGTCCTCGACGACAGGATACTCGCTGAGCCTGGTGCGCCCTGCTTCAGGGAGGAGTTAATATGGAATATGGGGGCCTGAATAGTTGGACCAGAATTGTGGGGCATGTTGTGCCATATACGGGATTTCATAGCTATAGTAGAGGTCTAGACTTGAGGGGGTTGACGGTTCCGTCACCGGGTTTAGCTAACCTGCATCTTGAATTCTAAAGACCCTCCAAGCCTAAACTTGCAAACCCTAATTCCGACACCAGACGACCCTGAACCGCAACATCCTCCACCTTAAACAGCAACAACTGCATGAAATAAGCATATGCGAGGCCAAAGTTGCAACACTTGCACTCGAAACTCTGGCGAAATCTCGACGAAGACAAAGGACTCTGGGGGGGGGGGGGGTCTGTACAACATATATACATATATGAATATGTACATATGTGTCTTTTCTCCATTGAAAGTCCTGTAAGTACTCGTTATAAACCTGATGCCAGGTAGACCGGGCTCAGCGCTCCTCAGAAAACGTACCTGCCCTTGCCTTGGCGGGCTCCGAGCGGCTTTGCGTTTAGGAATACAGGGTGGCAGCTGGTGAGTTTGTGACGGGCTGAATCTTTGGGTTGGATGCTTGAAAAGCTTAAGGTCCAAGAGCCTCGGGAAGCAAACCTGGCTAGAATAGAAGGGACGAAACGGCCATGACGACCGTCCTTGAACGTTGCTGCTCACGGTTTAAGGTTCCCGACGCACTCAAAGCACTTCGCGCAGCTGAGGCTGCTACCGAGCTGAGATACATTGTTTCATGTTCACCAAGGTGCGCTTCTAAGAGATAGAGCCTAAGGCATATGGCCCTGCACTTAGCCGTTCCTTTTGGTGCTGGTCCTTTCCCTGCACACTTACCGAAAAGCATGGGTTCACGGCTCGGCTTCCTAGATGAGCCACATTTAGCGCAACACCCAGATCCGGCGGATGTGCTTTGCGGTATATTCAAGAAAAACGAGAACACGGAAACCCATCCCGAAAAGCTTCGGGGCTCCGTATCAAGGCTCCTCATACAAAATTTGGGACCCTGAAAGGCGATGAGTCCCTCAACCCATGAATTCGGACCAGGTCACGCCAGAGCAGGATGCTTGCGATGAGCCGGAAAAGCACCTGAGCCGGTGCAGACGGTCTGATCGGGATCGCAGCGCAGGCAGGAGGTACTGCCCCAAAGCGAAAGCCTCTAAAGTTCACAACAACAGGACCCTGCAGTCACAATTCTGCGTTTCAATGAATGTGCTGGTCCTTGCAAGAAGCCTAGACCCGAACCCTGCCGCGGAACCCAGCACTCGAGAATTCAAGCTATACTCAACATCTACCGAAGAGGACATCCGGAAGGAGTCGGTTTTCGTCCTCACCTCCCTAACGGACCGAAAAAAGTTCGACGCCTGATTTGGGGCGTTATTCCAACCTTCCATCCTTCCCTCCAGAACCCAACCTGTTCCGCCTTGAGTTCTGCACATGCAAAACCTCTCAGTGCCACACGTCCTGAGAGCATACTCGTTACGGTTTCAAGAGCTCTGAAGCTGTCCAACATCCCCATCGTTTCAAGTCTTTGCAGTGAACCTATGTACCTTGTAACTCGTGTAACTCGTGGAAAAATGTAGACCCCAGTACACTCCATAAACAGCCCTTGATTGCACCAAGGTGCATAGAGGCCAACCAGAGCTCCGAGGTAGAAGGACCACTCGTCCCACTCAACACCTCAGAACGCGGCTAAAACCTCTCCTCGTCAAGGCAGACGTGAACCAGCTTGTCGTTTGATTTTGTTGCAGGACGTCTACATCCATGATATTTGATAAACAACCTGCAAGAGTCCCGGTATACCTGGAGACCCCAAGGATAGTGAAACCTAGTCGCCTAGTCGCAGCAGCTAAAGTCAAAGACCCTCTACAACAAGACAAGACACGAAGGCTACGTGTGGACCCTAAACGCTACTATAGAGGCCCAAATACTTGGACTGAGGGTTCTGGGCGATTCTACACATGTTTTCGGCAGCCCTGGGCGGAAAGCAGCGGCCTAAATAATTTGCTACACATCTATTCGGGTAGCCCTCCTGGGAATACCATCACAAAACCACCCACCCCCCACGTTTACCATGCCTGAAGCCGAACCACCAAGGTCATAGCCTGAAGCGTTCTCGCAACATGGACTGCTCAAGCAAACCCAGCACCTAAACTCTACATCAGGAGCCGACAACCTGACATCCCATGGGACCTTGAACCCTAGTGTCCTGAACTCCTATATAAACCCTATAAATCTATTTAACACTGCTCGGCCAGAAACACCAAGAGCCAGTGCAAGGCACTTTGCGTCTTCACCAGCTGCTGGCGGAGGTAGTCTCCAGGCTGCCTTGCTTCAGGGTTCATGGGTTGGCCTTCAGGGCTTAGTGCTTGGTGCGGATGAGTATCGGGCAACCCTATGCACTCCATAGCTTATGGACGTATGGTTTGCGTCCTGCCTAGTGTGAATGACCCATACGAAAAACAAGCAGGGGTCGGGATTCCCGGATGGGGTTGCTGTGTCATTCACCGAGCTAGCACGAGATCTGAAAGGAAGCTCATCATCTTCCGAGGTGTTGGATGAGCGAGTGGTGTAGCGGTGGCGGGGCTTCAGTCTGTTAGCTGGTCATGTTTAGGTAGAAGCTTTATGTTCTGACGTGTAGGTTCACTCTACTTGCTTGGTCGCCCCAGGCCAGAAAATATTTCGCGACCGAGGCACTGGGCCTCGCACTGAGCTTGCGAGTACTCTTGCTCGCAATTGTCCTTGGCGGTGCTTTTCGTTCAGAGACGCTCTGGGCCCTCAACCTCAACCTCCATGACCCCCGATCGGCCAAGGCTCGATGTTTTCCTTGACGTAGCTAAACTCCACGATGGTCATCAAGTTGATGGCGTACTTCAGTGGGCAGAGGTAGCGCACCCATCGCAGGCCTGGATTCACCGCCCGGGGCGGTTCACAACGATCTTCTCAAGCTTCGGGTTTCAGGATGCAGGCTGAAAGGTCTTCTGCTGCAAGGTCTGGGGTCTGAGGCTTGAGGTTTTAGGCTTCAAGCCGAAACTAGGAGTGAGTACATAGGTCACAGGTTGTACCGTGCAACTCCACTCTTCTGATAAATTTTGCCCCCTGTCTTGGCAGTTTCCACTACCCTCCAAATTGGCCATGAGTCTTTTTGGAAGACGGGGCAAGCGAGGTACTCCCCTGATCTTTACTAAAGCCTGAAACTTTCAACAAATTTCTCGGCAGTGCCGTCTGTCTTTGCAGTTTCCTGTCTCCATATGTGACCACACGCAACGCGCCTCTTGCGTTACGCCTCCCTTGCCCCGAACAGCAAAAGATGTTGCTGAGTTTTTAAAACAGATTGGGTTATGCAAAGGGGGCTACTGCTGTCAGGGTCTTGAATCGGGACCCCCCTCTTGGTTCAGAGCACCTCACGCCCTCAACGTCTAAAAGCGGAACCGCCATTCCTTGCCCTTGACTCGTCCCAACATGTGTTCATGCGGTAATCTGACCAATGAGAGCTGGGTGCTGATAACAAATGATGTGTGTGTGTGTGTGTGTTTATGTATTTATACACATACACAAAGTACTATGCACATAACACATGTATAACAGATGTGATACCTGCATACAACACATACACCACATACACACATACATGAATCTATCAACAGAACACAGTAATTGTCTTCTATTGATGTATGTATTTATGTATGTGTACTAGACTAGGCTAGACTAGACAAGACTGCGCTGGATGCACTGTACTACAATGCAGTACACTACAATAGTACAGCAGTATATACCTGTATCTACAAAGACATATATATATATATACACACACAAGATTGATACGTATGGAAACAGTCGACAAGTGGCTAGATGGCTTCTACTCCAAGCTCTCGTGAAAGTGTTGAAAATCTGCATCCAAGCGGCTTAGTGGGATCTTCGCCACGGGCACGAAGAGACCTGAAAAGAGCATCTGCGGGATCAGCGTCAAAGGTGCCAGCTGGATCGCTTTCCTGAGTTCCCAACACCAGGGCTTGTTTCAGAAAAGTCGTTCCCTGAATTCTGTTGTTGCCATAAGGCCCTGTGGCTATTATGTTCTGTTTCGTGAGGCTTTCGACATGGCTGAATCAAGCTTTGCTTGTTCTCGTAAGGTTTTGTCTGGCGTGTATACACCTCGGGGTGTAAGGATTCGGATCTTGAGGTTTCCCGGTTTTTTCGACTTGGCTTTGAATTGCATTTTGGGATTCTTCGACGCTTGGCTTCTGCCCATGCAAAGTCTTTATCATGACAGTCTCCTGTGGTTTCCGCCCCACTTTTGCGGACAAGCTCAAAGCCAAAATCATGTAGGGGTCTGAATTCTGTGGCGATAAGCAAAACGGTTCCTTCTTATCGTCCCTATACTGTTGTTGGGTATGCATGAATATTACGAGAAGCACTAGTCTAAAGCCCATCTACTTATGTCTCAGCTGCTCCGGCCGCAAATGCCTTTAAAGTCTCGTACTTGAATGACCGTGGTCATCGTAGCATCTGCTATCTCACAGATATAGCAACTCAGATGCGGATTGCTGAATGGACCGAGAAGCTCACGCCCAAATCAAGAACGAAAACATGGTCAATTCGAAACATTTGCAGTCACACATGCTAGAGAACTAAACTACTCACGCAAGTTGTGGTCCCGGCGGCTGCGCCGTGGACACGCCACAGCCCACAAGCAGTGCCAGGGACGAGGAGGTGACGCCCAGCCCCCTCATAGAACATATCATGGTAGTTTTGACTGGGAAGCGGTGACAACAGCGATGGTGATGTTGACGAAGGCCTGATGATGACGATGATGGTGGTGATGATTGCAGTGATGATGATGCCGGCGATGACTGTGGTTATCTTTACGATGTGCTGATGCTGACCATGCTTGTCGTAACACAGCCGCCGTTGGTGATGCTAGTAATGATGATGCCGACGACTCTGCGCCGCTACCTTAGTATTGCTGCCAGTATTGCTGCCGTTACTCTTGGTATGCTTGCCTGGTTGCTGTTGGCATGTATCTTCATTGAGGTGATGACGGTCGATCTCGCATATTGTTGACTGGTGGACTTGCTAGAGGGAGAAAGTGCAGGGCTTCGGGCTGAGGTTCAGCTTTCAAGAACCTCAAGCTCACAGGGGTCGATAGTCAGAAGCATGGAAGGACACATAAACACTGTCCAGGTCTGCAAGCCTAGCAGAAGTTGTCGGCCAAGTGACCACGACACCAGCACGAGCAGCAGAACACTGCCATGCAGCCCCATCCACCAGTAGGTGACAAGGAAGGTGACCTGAAACCAGTTCCAAGCAAAGTTAGCTTTAGTTCTAGAACACGGGAAAAACAAACGCACGTGTTCCCAAAATACACAGCTCGACGACTATAGTTGCCTCTTCTACAAAGTTCCCAACGCATGACCTACAACACCAGGATGGAGTTTTGCGACTGGGCTTTCGGATGATATGAATCTGAACGATGAGACCGCAGTTTGAGGATTCGCGGTTTGAGAATTTAAGATTAGGGCTCATGTTTTTGCACGGCCGTGGGATTTCTGGCGTGAAGATCTAGGGGTTCGGGCCTCAGGAATTCCTGCATTTATGGCGCCACAAATCTCTGACTAAGACCACTTACAGACCCTCGCGGATTGCCTGAAGCTTTGCAGAAAGGCATTGTGGAAAGTTTGACTGCAGTCTGGCCACTCCCAAGAACCCGACCAGGTTTTCATAGGTAAGAAAAGCTGGAGAGTCGAAGCTCCAGATTCCTCCTCCCACATGCCGAGCAGCAATCTGAGCCAGCAAGACCACAGGCATCTCCACGATGGTCTTGCTGATGAAATATGGCACCACGCCGTACCTGACTGGTGGGTTCTGAACCCTACACACCCTAAACTGGCCTGAAGGCCCAAATCATGAAGCCGTCTACATCGTAGACTCTGAAGCCAGATTCTAATGTCTGTTCATGCAACTCTACACAGCGACCTCTCCTTCCCAGAACGAAGTCTAGACCAGAGTCTACAGTTCAATCGAAGGCGAACAACAAGGCACCCTCAACTTGGATCCGAGATGTAAGCCAGGGCGAGGAGGAGGTTTGGACTAAAGTCCCCCCATCGGTGCCCCCCAGTGCCAGTATGGCATCGGGCTTCTTGGCACTTCAAGGTACAACACCTGAACCACACCTCCTTGCAGCACAGAGACTGGTGAGCCGCGTACTCCTTGGTTCAGTCTGTCTACACTCCACGCATGCTATGCGCTGAACCGAATTGGATTGAGATGAAACTGGTTCAAGCACACCAGCTCAGACCCAGGCACCCAGGCCCCGACAGTGGAACCCTACATACCAAGACTAGCTCTAATGTCGAAATAATCCTACATGGATAGTATAACCACCATGGCCATGATCATCATCATCATCATCATCACCATCCACATCCACATTCTCATCCTCGTGATGATGACGATGATGATAATGATGCTCGTCATCATCCCTAAGCCGTGTTGCGGCCCCAGGCACTCTGAGGAAGACGGGTCTCTCCTGCGGGAACTGCAGCAAGACGGGCTGCGCAGCTCCCATCATGGCCCTGTGCAAGCACAAATCCCAACGAAGGGCTTTGGGCTTAGCTACCGTACGGTATAAACATAGGAAATATTCCGATCGTTCTACAGCGTGGCATGCAAGCCCAACAGGCTTTGACGGTGGACAAGGCTTTGAGCTGATGGCGGCGCTCTACTACTTTGATTCGGAGTTAACTTCAAGCCAATCTCTAAACTTAACCCCTACACAAGCCTAATCGTACCCCCAAAGTCCTGCTGCTTCGACCTCATTTACTCAAGTCTCATTTTAGCAAACTCTGCACTTTGCTATTGAAGTGATTCCATGATTATACAGGTGCTACTACCTTTCTGATTACTCCTGTTATTGAAAGGCAGGCTGCATGATGCTAAGCGAGACGATCGTGCCGAAGTGGGCTTGCCAGTCCTGGGCAAAAATCGTCGTGGTGACTGGGTTGCAAAGTTCCGAACCAGGTGGGGGTCCAGAGTGCAAGAAGTTAGGGATGCTCAGAAATTTTCGTTCTGAGAGTACACGTACAAACCAATCAGCAACCTTGCCGGGTTTACGGTTTAAATGCTTCTGGCCCATGATCTTTGCGCCCCATGGCCTGAGGCTGCGGGGAAGCTTACATGTACAGCTGCTAGATGTGACGCCGGTGATTGACGTGGCGTGCCGTTGGGGTGCAAACCCAAACTGGCAAAACAGTAGGACCTAGGACTTACAACTTAAAAGGCCCCCATAATCGATGAACATGTAGCCACTCGAAGGCTGCTTCGGGTTTCGACTGAACTCGGGGGCTCAAGGGGAAATCAACACAGGTAGGATTCAACATGGAACAACCTACACTGCATCATGCAGTGATAGTGCCCAGTTGTGGTTTCTGAGCGCCTGAGCAGTAAACCCGCCGCCTCTTGAACTTTGGTGAGCTCCCCAACGGGCCCTAACCACCCCCACCCACCTTCCCCCCTGCCCCCCGCTCCCCTTCAGTCCCTGTTTTCATTGCTGCAAAACAGTGAGAGGGCATGTTGGTTCTCCTACTCCGTACCTTCTGTCTGACACAAGTATGTAAACAAATAAACGCAAGCAGTGAAATCTCCTATGTACGTCGTGTTTTCAAACAGACACACAGGCTACAACCAGGAGTACGACAATCAAACGCTGTTCTTGACTCCGCGAACGTTTTTCGCTGGATATTTTTATTTCTGTCATTGGGAAGCTAGATGTATGGTTTTGGCCTCCCAGACGAGCTGCAGATTGGCAGCCAGCATAGCTGAAGTTGTTTGGTACGCAGTTCTTCTCTGTGGAGTGGTTGTTGTCCTCAGCTTGTCAAACTTTGAGAAGCTTTCCCTGCACAACCGCGAAGCCATAAACCTTGTGACACTATCATCATTTGCATCTTACAGCAGTAGTTGCTGTAAACCTCTGCCGATAATCACTGCTTGTTGTTTCGCGGTTGGCAACAGTACGCTCGTCATCCTGCTTGTAGCCTACAGCTCCTAATCCTTGAAACAGGGTTTGCGGGGGCCCTAAACGAAAGGCCCTCTAAGCGAAAGGGCCTCTTGCTGGGGACTGTGAATATGAGCAGCCTGCGATTATGTTGAAAGCATCCTCAAGTTCAGGCTTGGTTAACTGGTTCACATAACTATCTGTTTACTTATGTGCGCGAGGGTTTAGAGTCCTGCGCAGCATGCGGCAGAAATCATGCAGGCACAGAGTATACGAGCCCAGCGGCACCCTGTGCGGCACTGCCGGAAAACAGCCAGCCATACCTGGACGAACCCCCGAAGGTCTCCCGGGGCCCTCAGCCCTGGAGCATCCCCAGTGCTTGCAACCCAAAGTACTTGTAACTATGTCTAAGGTTCGAAACGCCCTTCTCGGGCCGACAGCCAAACCTAAACGCAACCTGAACCCCAAATCCACCCCTGTACCTGACTTCTTTATCCTTTCGTACCCAAACCTAACCGCCCAGAACGCCCAGAAGCAAAGGACGTCGTGTGCCGGAAAATGTCTACACAAAAGCAAAAGGTGCTGTCATACGAGCCTCGTTGGGCGTCAGTGGCTTTGAAATAGATAAAAGACGCAAAATCAAGGGACAACACTGGTAGTAATTTTTGCTCAGAAGGATCAGGAAGCTTAGCCCACAGCCTGCATGTTTGCACAAGCTTGATAACCCCATGTACGGTAATTGCACCTGATCCTAAAAGCTCGAATCACACTACTTCTCCTTCAACCTCTTAGCTTGTTAATCACCTGCTTGACTGCAGGTTAGGACGCGCAAAGTTGCAGATGAGGTCTATCAAGGAGCCCAGCTGCTCCGGAATGGTGTTAAGCACTGGGTGCTTCATTGCTTGGCAAGATCACACCAAGTTCACAATCACTATGAACTTGGATATCACTGCCGCCGATGCTTTCCACGACGGTTGTTTCTTTTGTCATTGTCGTGGTCCCTCATCATTCCTGCCAAGGAGCGGAGTTCCTGCGAGCACAAAGGCAACGCGCAGGGTTCGATTTATAGCCTCCAGGAGCAAATTAAAAAACGCAACGACCTGATGCACTGAGTGGCAAAGACGCGCTCAAGCATTGAAGCATGTACTTAGTATGAGGTACCACATCATGTTGCCGTGAGCCTGGCCAGAAGCAAACACAATACAGAAACATTAAACGCGACCCCAATTGGAACGTACCCAGGGGGCCAGCGTCATCGGCGCGGCCTCTTCATCAGACTCCTCGTCTGCTGCGCTGGAGGCCAGCACCAAAGAAAACAATAGCAGACCCGCACTTCGAGTCCAAGACACATGCAACATATCGTACATCTTAGCACTGGGATTCTCATGTCGAGCACAAGCACCGGCAACAAATCGTACATCGTGGCACCGGGACCTCACTTCGAGCCCAAGATACCGGCAACAAATCGTACATCTTAGCACTGCAGCCTCGCGTCCCAAACTCGTGAAACAGGTCGACATCAGTGCTAAGATGTACGATTTGTTGTCGGTGTCTTGGGTCGAAGTGGGGTCCCAATGCTGAGATGTACGATCTTCTAGTCTTGTGCTGGGGTCACTCGAACTGGAGGGATAAGCGGCGAATCAAAAGGGTAACGGATGGATGCAGCAAGCAAGCACTTCGAAGGATGCAGTAGAAGCAGCAGTAGCAACAGCATATGCGACAGTAGCAGCGACAGCGGCAACTGCAGTAAATGCGGCAGCAGGAGCGCAGCGGCAGCGGCGCCAAGCAGCAGTAGCTCCCGGACCTTGGTATCCGTATACAGTACTGGACACAAGCAGGTGGGCCCGTCAGCAAGTGGAGCTTCGGCGAAGTTCGTCGACCGAATTTTGGACAGTGCGGGCTGCGCAGAAACAGATGTATGTAAGTGGCTTTGGCAACTCGGGCATTGCTTGGCAAGATCACACCAAGTTCACAATCACTATGAACTTGGATATCACTGCTGCCGATGCTTTCCACGACGGTTGTTTCTTTTGTCATTGTCGTGGTCCCTCATCATTCCTGCCAAGGAGCGGAGTTCCTGCGAGCACAAAGGCAACGCGCAGGGTTCGATTTATAGCCTCCAGGAGCAAATTAAAAAACGCAACGACCTGATGCACTGAGTGGCAAAGACGCGCCCAAGTATTGAAGCATGTACTTAGTATGAGGTACCGCATCATGTTGCCGTGAGCCTGGCCAGAAGCAAACACAATACAGAAACATTAAACGCGACCCCAATTGGAACATGGGGCCAGCGTCATCGGCGCGGCCTCTTCATCAGACTCCTCGTCTGCTGCGCTGGCGGCCAGCACCAAAGAAAACAACAGCAAAAGTTCCAGGAAGATGATCAATCGAAGAACTGCTGAAACAGCATATGAGCCAGCTGATACCGGCTCGCGCAAAGCACACGTTAACCCCGGCAACAAATCGTACATGTCACCACCGGGACCCGAGTTCGAGCAGGACACCGGCAACACGTCGTGCATCTTAGCTCCTGGGCCCCACTTCGCTGAGACCCTCACTTCCAGGGACCCGGAGAAGTGGGTCCCGGTTTCGTCCCCCTGCTGAAGCTTAAATTCTCACCTCAATTCGGTCGGTGCTGGCTGAAGCCGATGTTCGCCTGACGCTCGAATTCGGCGCCAATATTCGACGGGAAGCGGCTGAAGCCTAAAATGGCCCTGGCCCAAATTCGGCCCCGAAATTCGGTCCCTGTCCGAATGTGGTAGGGCTACCTCAGCTTTGCAATGGCCTCCAGTCGGCTTGCAGCCTGACGCCGACATTCAGCGCCCGAGTTCGCTGAAGCTAAAATTCGGCCTGTCCCCAGCCTGACGCCGCAAACGTGCCAGGCGCCGAAATGATTCAGCGAATTCGCTTGAGTTCAGGGAGCGCCCCTGATTCTAAAATCAAAACTCCTATCACCCGGAACTCAGAGGATTGAGCCTTGGACCGGTGGGGTGCCCCTGAGTTTAAAATCAGAACTCTTACAAAACCTGAAACTGATGGGGCACCCCTGATGTTAAAATCAGAAGTCCTACTATGGGTAGTTTATAAGTGGGGTTATAAGTCCCCTCATATTATGGGTCATAGGTATAGTTACCCTACTTACAACCCCGTTTATAACTACCCAATGAACCTCCAAACCCTAGACCCTAAACCCCATAGAACCCTTGAAAGGAACCCTTAAAGGAACCCCTGAAAGCCCCATTTGTACCCTACCCATGAACCTCCAAGTAGGAGGGACCAGGAACCAAGTATATCGCCCAGAACTCAGAGTATACATCCCCTTATAGATCCCTTATACCCTAAACCCTAAACGCTAAACCCTAAACCCCTACATAGATCCCTCTTATAGATCCCTTAAAGGAGCCCCCTGAACTCCGAGGATGGGCCCCTGATTTCAAAACCAGAACTGGAGCCATCTGCGACCTTTTCCGAGAATGATACTTGGAGGTTATAAGTAGGGTTAGGGTTTAGGGTTTAGGGTTTAGGGTTTAGGGTTATAAGTAGGGAAACTATAATTACAACCTATATTAGGGGACTTATAACTCCACTTATAACTATAAACTATAATTACAACCTATATTAGGGGACTTATAACTCCACTTATAACTACCCGTGAACCTCCAAATACTTGAAGTCTAATGGTCATAGGTAGGGTCTTAAGATATCTGGAGCTACTCCAGGTTTGGATCCTAGTCCTAGTCACAGTCGTGTTACTCAGACTCTCGGCTTACAACGAATTAACCTTCGAGTAGAGGGCGCAACAACTCGGGCCCAGGTACATACAGGCCAAGAAGAGTGACATCCCCAGGCGCGCGAAGAGGACGCCCTTATTCCTCAGAAGGCTGGCATCTTGACTTCAGTTCGGGGTTAGTCGCATCAAGCCGATAGCAACCTGCACCCCACACCCCTAAACTCTGAACCCTTATGCACCAAACTAAGCCCTAGGCCCTAAACCCGGAACTTCAGATTGCCATGGCCATGCCCTGGATCTAAAACCCATCAAAGTGAAGAAGCCGTATTCAATACCCGATCCGTCCTGATAGTCCCGCGAGTTTCTCGGACCAGGAGCCTAAGAGGCCGAGCGTGCTTCTTTTTTTTGCTATTAGAATATAGTTTGGGTGTATATCCCTAAACCCTAAACCCCTAAACCCTAAACCCTAAACCCATAAACCCTATTATAAAGCTGCTCCTTCGGAGCTTTGGGGAGTCTTTCGGTAGGCGGTTGGGAGGAAGTGGGGGTCTCCGTTTTTTCTGCACTTCAGAACTCCTCAGCTTCACCGACAGGCCAGTCTCTTCCGTATGCTTGTCATCAGGAGAGAGAGAGAGAGAGAGAGAGAGAGAGGGAGAGAGAGAGAGAGAGATGGCGAGAGAGAGGAGCCCTGAGTGGTCCGGGTCGCATGGCCAGCTGCTGGCAGAAGCTGGCGCCCGTCTGCTCCGGCAAGACACCTGAACCCCAAGCGAGACTTTCTCAAATAGCAAGGGAGGCTAATGTAGGGCCCTAGGAGAATCTTTTTGTTATGAGACCCCTACAGTAGAAGCCCAAAAGTTGGAAACCCAATGGCCTCAATCCTAAAGAGTAATGTATAGGGAATCCCAGCACCATTTGACCTTAATCCGGTTTCCAACTTTTTGGGGCTTACTGTAAATCAGGTACCACGATTTCTGATCCTCAAACACAACCAAGAGCTACCAGGAGAACCAAGACCCTGAACCCAAAATCCTGCACTCTCAACCTCAACCCCGTCTTACTCGCTTCTCCCCAGAACACGTCTAAACACGCCCTTCTATAGCGCCCTCCGATATCTCTGTCGCCGTCTGTCGTTGCTGAGCTCCGAGCTGGATGGGCGAGCATTGCCCTGGCCGCGGAAGTTCGTGATCTGCTCGTGCATCTTCTTGAAGGTGCCTTCTTGCGCGGCTCGTTTTTATGATGGCCCCAATATAAGATATATGGGGGCTGGTTCCAGGATTCGTTCATGGTCGCCTGCGGGTCTGATCGGACGTTGCGGGTCTTCGCAGCGGTCTTTCGGCTACCTTTGCGCGTGTTTGCAGGAGGATAGCAGGGTTTCATCCAACCCTAAACCCTAAACCCCAAACCCTAAACCCTAAACCCTGAACCCTAAAATCTGAACCGTAAACCCTAAACCCTAAACCCTATACCCCATGCAGTTCTGGATCTTCGTGATTCCTGGCTTTGGTGGCTTCCGAGCTCCTGGTGCTGAACTTCGAACCTCCTGAACACGACTTTTGGAACCCCCAAACCCCAAAGCCCAGAGTGGGCTTTGGGGTTCCTGGTCCCGAAAACAACGCCAAGAAAGCACGTGCAACTCCGGATTTCAATCCAACTCAGCCTTGGCCCGCTAAAAAGGATCCCCAGTCAGTTTACGCTCAGCTGCCCGAGTCTAACCAAGCGGTTTTGATGTTCTGCAGCTTTTCTGGCATCTCCTTCTGCAGCAAAAACATCACCTCAGGTCCCCACTCCGATCGGAGTCGTTTTCGACTTTCTAGGAAGCCATGGCAAATCCAATTCTTTCAATGCTCCGCTTCAAACTCTGTCCTAAATGAACGCTACAAAGCAACATCCCTGGGCGTTACTCGCCCATCTGGGAATGTTGACAGCAGTGTTTCTGCAATGCGGTGCCTGCCCGCGATTCGCCGCCGGGACCATGAGTACAATCTGCAACGGCGCCGTTCTAGACTATGCCCCAAGTATCCCGGCAGTCTGGACCCTAACATAGATGCCTAAAGCACCAAACGCGGGCCTTGAGACGCAATACCGAAGAGAGGAACCTTAAGAGTAGTGCTTCTAACTACTTCCCACCCGATATTACGCCTTAAGCTCCCTAGAATGGGCATCTAGCATGAGGACATCCTCTGGAGAGCCCCCTTGAGTCAAGGGGCGTGGTCGGCGGGGTTGAAATTCGACGGGCATGGATAGCCCAAAACGTCGAAGTGCGTGGCGATGTGCTCCGCAGGGCCATGGTAGGTGACTTCCTGGCGAAATTGAGGCCATGAGCCCAATAAACCCGAAGCCCTAAACCCTGAACCCTAAACCCCAAATCCTAAACCCTAAACCCTGAACCCAAAAACCCCAAATCCTAAACCCTAAACCCCGAACCCTAAACCCTAAACCAAAACTTCGAAAGGCCTGGAGATTGGGAGTCTCGGGCCCAAGGCATGGCCCCACAGTCTGAAGCCCTTAACATCAACATCCAGAAAACCATATGGAAAACCAAAAAAACACACAAAAAAAAACACGACAAAAAAAGGGCTGGGTGCCGAAAAGTAGGGCCAGACTAGTCTGCCAGGCCCGAGCCAACACAAACTCCCGCGCTACAAAGCCAATCTAGAACAGGGCTTTGGGGGACCTCCTAGTATACTAGCCACTGGGTATGTCGGTATATTGCTCTAGTATGGTCTTAAGAAGGAACCCAGAGCAAGGAGGTTGGCAATTATTCTTCATCCACGTAACACCACCGTGGAGGATGATCACCTTGGCAGAGGCAAGAGGTTTCGAAACCGATGCAGGCTCGCCACAGTTCGTATTCAGCAACCTTTTTCGGTGCATGGTTTAGGATCTTCGGGGGTTACTCTCAGTGAGCAGCATGCAGTATCGAGGAGGCGCCAGGTACCGATGCACTTTTAGTGGTGCAGCTGGGCTTGCTACGGTTTGTTGCCATCATGGAATCAGGCTGCCGACCACATCAGTGCTGCGCCACGCAGACTTCTGATGCTTGATATGCGAGAAACTCGACTACTATCTGCTGTCCTAGGTTATGTATGAGAGAAAACTCCAGGTGCAAACCATTGAGAGCTGGCACGCGTGCTGAACGTGTCCGGGTCTATGGTGGCTCTGACGAATTGCGCTGGAATTGCGAGGTCTAACTCGCCAGCCCAACGTCATCTCTTCAGTTTATCAGGTCCAATCTCTGCACACCACAAGCCCAAATCCCTCATTCAAGACCCAACCGAGCTCCGGGCATCGTCGAACTTCGCGAAGATCTCTGAGCTGGGCTGGTGAACCGTGCAGAGAACCGGGACGTTCGCCTCGGCGAGCTCCTGGGCAGCTGACTGAAATGTAACGATTTGTGTCAAAATACTACACTGTCACTGGCCAGCTCCGCTCGGCTGGTCATCACATCGTTACGCGGAAGGGATCCAAATGTGCCAAGATTGTAGCGTTGCCAACGCCTTTGGCACACGGCTGTTGTAGGGTTCCAGAGACTCCGGGCAAACATCTTGAATGCGATGGTCGGAAGAGCTGGGCAATCAATCAAGCAGCCGGATGATCGGTCTGCGAAAAACATCCATGCATCTGCGCACGTGCTCGCTCACGAACTGAACATGGGACAGCAGAGCAGGCCACTTGACGTGGTTTGGCTAGACTCTAGACGGTCGCCTTGCCCCGTCGAGTACTACATTCCGCCACTGCTCTCCAGGGAGCTGTTCCTCTTCAGCGAATTTGAACAGCCAGGACACGCTGCTGTCAAGGCCCAGGCAAATTCGCAACATTTTGTTCCTGTGAACCCCTGTGTGCCGCGTTGCGGCTGCGATGGAACTAAAGTAGAGCCAACATCGCTCGGAAGAGTCGCCTGCGACGAAAAGTGCATATACTGCCCTGCCAGACTTTGCCTTGCGCACTTCTCGGGCGGCCCCTTGCCAAGAAAGCCTCACATTCTGCGCTGGAGTGACGTACTCTAGATTTTGCACGTGGTTGTTTCCGCGATCAAAGTCCTTGTGATGGACGTGCATATCTGGATCTAGAGGAGGACCAAGAAACGTTGATGCAACCACACGGTGGACGTAATATGACCTGCCTGCTCTCATGACCTTGAAGTAGCCACTTTTTTGGCAAGTGCCGCGGCTGACATGATCGCAAGGGGACTTGGCTCCGGAAATCCTACCGTGGTTGCTGACCATCAGGTTTGGAACACTACTGCGCTCTCCTGGGCATCGTGCGGGCTGCCAGACTTCGGCTGATAGGGGTATGTCTCTTTCACCAGGAGCTGCCTGGAACTCGTACCAAACTCCATTTCCACAGGACTTCTTAATCAAGCCGCGGCAACAAAGCGAGACACTGCCCGGGGGGGTGCCCAGCTTCCTTGCGGCTTCGCTCTGCGATGCGCTGAGCATCCAAGCCTGTTCTCCACAAGGCCGCCACCAGACGGCTTTCCTAAGCTTGACATCTCCTGGCTGCCGATTTAAGTTGGTTGCCCAAGAATGCCTCTGATTTTCAGCTTGAGTCACATACTGCAGATTTGCCAAGCAGTTGTTGCTAGGATTGCCGTCCAGGTGGTTCACCTGCCAGCAGCCCGGATCTGGTGGAGGCTCCAGAAAAGCTGCAGCCACCAGCCGGTGCACATAGTAGTGTTGGCCGCCAATCGTCACCCTGCGATACCCGGCACAGTTCGTGCCAAAGTGAACCACGTTGGTGGCAGGTGAGACCCGGCCATACGAGCTCACTCGCCAGCCGGCAGATACCCAGCGGGATTTCTGAATCGCGCAGCGACGAAACTGGAGAACAACGGCATGGACAGTTGGCTGCCTCGTGAACAAGGGCGTGCCCAGCATGCCTGAAAGCCTGTAAGCATCCAGAGTCAGCAGAGCTAACTGATTGCCTTTCTCTCCGCCTTTAGCCGCCCTCTCCCGAAACTTTGAAGACCCGCTCTACCCTCTCAATGTGAGATTCACATTGTGGAACTACTCTACCATGCCATACTATGCCCAAAACCCGAGACCCCAATCCCCAACCCTGACGCCCTAAAGATCCGAAGCCGCACCTCGCGACCGCCCCTCCACCACCCCTTAGCCCCAAACCTCCGAGCCGGATCCCAACTCTCCTGCGGTCGAACTTTCTCGATTTCTACAACCCTCTATTCCACCTCTTCAGGCCCTAACCCGAACTGCCCGAAGCAACACAAACACAAACACAAACACACACACACACACTGTTGACACATCTCTTAACCTCTTCACCTTTTCTCTGGAGCTCCTTCAAGGCTATGACCAGGGTGTAGGCGGCGTAGGAGTCCAGGCCGCTCAGAGGCTCGTCGAGGAACCTTCGTTCACGACGTGGTCCCTTTCTGAGGGTCTTCTTCTTTCAGGTGTGTGTTAGGGTTGATATGATACTAGACTTTGAAGTAACCAGGGAGAAAAAAGTATAGACTTTCATTTCTTCATTGTTCCCTTAAGGAACAGGTCCCCCCCAAAAAAGTCTTCAAGTATGGTACTCCAGAACCCAGGATATTAATGGCTTTCGCATTAGGCGCTTAGGATTGGTTCGTGCAGCCTAGCAGCAACATCCTGGGGTTCGTAATCAGCTCAATGCCGACCTCAGCTGACAACTTGGACAGAAGTCGCCCTCGACGGCAGCTACGAGCCATGTTCGTGGAAGCGGCAGTGATGACACAGTGATGACGGGGTACGAAGAAACATAGCAGAAACAAGAGGGAGTAGCTGTGGTGCTGGTCGTCGTGACAGCAACACAACCAGCATTTGGAATTGCACCAGCACCAGCGCCAGCAGCAGAGTCTGCATACGCAGTGAGACTTCCCACCGCTATATACATCTGCCCAGTCTAGAACGAACTACCCAAAAGCCCAAGACAAGCTCGGTTCGGCCAACTTCAAACTAAGGCAATGGATAGCTTCTTTCCGACATTTGTGTCTCCTACAGTATTATCGTGACTCTACAGAGTGCATAATCGCGGCAAAGGCACGGAGGTACGCTTTCTCTCACCTCCGGCATTGGCTGGGTGACGGCGAAGGCTAGCTTATTGCAAGTGTTGAGGCTGCAGGGTCCAATCCCTGCATGGGCCATGAGATCGCTGACATACCGAAGGTCATCAGCCCTAGGAAGGCAGAGCTCCGTGAAAAAAACAGCGTCTCTACGGGACTATGAAGCAAGACGAGGAGCTGCTAGGTATCATTTGCGGCTGCTTTCTAAGAATTTGTGTGGATTCCAGGAAGGGTCCAGGACAGGCGCTTGAAGTGGTTGCTTTCAGTACGACCAGGTAACCCAGTTGAAGTCTGAATTGAAAAGAACTCGGCCAATCCTACGACGGAAGGCGCTTGTTAGTTGGCAATAAGAAGGCGCTTCTCCGGCCGGCATGCAGAGACTGTAGGGTTCAAGGATCCCAGAGAATCTGGTCGTCCTTCTTCGTGTTCGTGCTACTGTTCCTTCATCTCAAGGAGCTGTTGGACTTTGGTTTTGGGGCTTCGGGCCGTAAAGGTTTCAAGGTCTTCACCCAAGATCCAAAAAACCCCTAAACCCTAAACCCTAAACCCTAAACCCTAAACCCTAAACCCTATTAAGTTGCTCCGGAGTCTTCAAGGCCAACCTCCCGTGTAGACGCCCTTAGATCCTTGAGCCACCATGCTGTAGAGCTGCAAGCCCTGACTGACTAAAGAAGCCCAAAAATTGAAGCCGCGACCTCCCGAAATGCCCTTGACGAGCGCCGACCCAACGATCCTGAGCTGGATTGGGCTTAGGGTCTGTTGGTTTAGGCTTACTGATTTAAGGTTTACGGCCTGGGAATGTGGAAAGGAACAAGTATCTGTACTTGGTTGTCTCAATTCCGCCAAAAAAGCACCTAAGGAGATTGCTTCTTGCTTCTTCCACAGGCGGTTGGTGTGCTGCAGCATGGCCTCATTTAAAGGTGCGGCTTTGCTGGGAAGGTTTGGTCTTAGGTTCGATTGCCTTGAGCAGGACTTTGCAATGAAACGGCCCCAAGCCTAAAGTGACAAGGGTGCAAAGACAAGAAAACACCATGAACCGTAAAATCCCTAAAGCACAACCATCAAGCCCTCAGATGCTTAAAACCCTTGAGCCTGGATCCCGGAAACCCTGGAAGTCTGAATCCCTAGAGCCGTTCAAATCTTAAATCCTTGAAGCCCGTGAAATCTTAGCCCTGAGGACCCTTTAATCCACGCCCTGGTCGTGAATCCTATAACCCCTTGGGCCCGTAGTGAGCTTTATCGCCTAAAACATCGCTATAGCAACCTGCAAATGAAGCTTCGTGGTGGAGCAGCGCTCCAGGTGAAGCGTATTGAGCAAGCTCTGGACGAACTCCTGCCTCTGCCTTGGGGTGTATGATCGTCTCACACGTAGGTCAGCGTTTAGGGCTTCGATCTTGTAAGATGTAAGATATACTTTTGCGACCTTGGCGTTCACGGTCCGGATTTTTTGGGCATTTCACGGGGACTGGGGCTGCAGCGGCTTTTCCAGCTGGAAGGGGCATTCGCAAGGCTGGGGCGCGGGTTCTTGAGCTTTGGCTTTGTTTTGATTTTCTCGGGGTTGAGGGTTGTTGTTCAGGACCAGTGCGTAAGTTTCAGCGCTGCGGGGGCTGAACTCAGAGTTCCGTGGGTTGAGCAGGGTTTTGGGCCGGCTGGTGCTGCAAAGTGGCTCTTCGGTCACGCTTCGCGGCAGCCGGAGGCATGCCGAAAAATAGAGGCATTCCTTGGTGGACAATAGCATTGGTGGCTCACCTCCTTGTGGCTCCTAGCGTACATGTTTGTCTATGTATGCACATATTCTGGGCGACCTGAAACGGTTTGGTGTAAATACGCGGTGTCCCTGACTCTCGGGCCTCAAAGCCCTGTAACGGCTGATGTGAGGTACTCCGTTTAGAGTTGAGCGTTCAGGGTTTCTATGGATTTGAACCTTATGTTAGCGCTCCGGGGATCAGAGGTTCATGTGCGTTTCCCCCTTCAACGCGACGGAGAAAGCCGGGCCACCCTCGGTGTCTCGAAGGGGAGCAAGGAGTCGTCTTGCATGACGTAGGCGATGTTGGATCGGAAGCTGACGGGATCCACCTGGGCCCCGCGGACTTTGAAGATTCCGTCCAGGCGCTAGAAAATAGCTCTGGTTTGGGGCCTATGTTTGAAATGGAGCTGAGGGGTTTGAAAATGAAGGTTTAGGGCCTTCGGGTCTCAGTTTGAGGAAGCGTAAAGAAGTTTACCCTCCGCTCATGAAGCACGGAATCCCAAACGAAGGCCAGCTTTACGTAGTACTATAGGTGAGTACTGAGTTCCGCCCGCGAGGTTTACAGCGCGAGGTCATAAGCCGTCGCAAGGCTGAGGGTCTGAAAAGTGAGGATCGTAACTTCGACCCCTAAACCCTAAACCCTAAACCCTAAACCCTAAACCCTAATCCCACGGGGAAGGCTGGAATGCTTCGGCGGGCTCAGAGTGCTGAAGCAGCCTGAAGGCCCTCACCCCAACCCGTAGTATCTTAAACCCCGAGATATTAACCGCACAATCACTGCAATGTCCTAAACCCAAGACGTGAACCCCCAAAAGAGCCAGACCCTGAACCCTCCTCAACACTCAAACAGAAACCCTCAAACCTTTCGAAACCCCTGACTCTACCCTCTGACACTCGAACCCCCCTTCCCATCCCCTAAACTCTAAACTGCAAGCCCTGAAACCGTCCTGAGCCCTAAACCCCAGTCCCCTTAAGGCCAATTCCCATATCCAAGCGGCAGGAACCCCGCCGGTGGTAATCTGCCCAGACAGGGACATGCCTCCAGCTTTCCTGGGTCATTAGGCCCACTATGGGCTCTTTGGTTCAGGGGCTGGTATTTTTGGTGGCTCGGGGGTTTTAGGATATAGCGTTCAGGGAATCGGAGTTCAGAATTCAGGGCTTCAGGATTTAGGTTCCAGGGCGAGGGTGCGAGAGCAGCTTCTGCGTGCCCAGGAGTGTATACCTATGTCAATCTGTCGCAAATACACACAGGTTTGAAATACATGAGATAGATCAACAGGTATATATACATATGCGTATACTAACAGGCTACATTGCTTGCTGCTACTTCTGCGACACTGCGAACTCTACGACTACTCTACGACTACCACGGCTACTACGACGACTGGTGCCAAGTATATCTCTACTGGCACTACGACTACCAATCTTACCACTGCTGGTCGATGCAAGAACCCTAAAACCCTAAACCATAAACCCCTCCTGATGTTCATATTACCCCTGCTCCTCACCGGCAGCCCGGAGCTTTGCAACTCCCGGGTGCCAGTTTTAATTTCAGGTCCCCTGACCAGACAACCCGACTACTTACACCACCCTGCCCCCCTGAACGAATGAACACACCATCATCGTACATATCTTCTGGTTCTTGGCCTTTCATTTCCCAGGGCTCTGCAAGCCATACTGAGGGAGGGGCAGTTCAAAGCCGTGGGCACTGGTGTCCGAAAAAGTAAGGTCGGGGCCTCCTTTCCCCACCCTGCTGCCTCTCAAGTGTGCCAAGGGGCCTTCACCATCCCTTCCTTCCATAAACTCTGCATCGCAATTGCGGCCGAGCGTCGTGTTTTGGCGCCCAGCCAAAATGTTGAGCAGAGTCGTCTTCCCGCTGCCCGACGGACCAAAAACGCCTGCTATAAGGTCATAAGGTCTGAACACAAAACTGTCGCCTGGGGTGTAGAATGCAGGCTTTCGGGTTCAGAGTGTTCCGGTTAGGGTTTAGAGCTTCGGGCGTAGAGTTTAGGGGTTGGGGGCACTTATGAAGAAAATATGATGACGAGGTTCGCAGGACTCCTTACGACCTCTGTCCGCAAGCCCAAACCAACATAAAGAGAAAAACTGAAGAACACCAGCATCTAAAGCCGCAAACGCCATAAGCCGAAGCTCGTACATTTCGTGCACCTTACGCATGACACCAACCTCGCCATAATCTTCGCTCTACCTGTAGACACGACCCACAAGGGCGCGCACGAATGGCTTCAAGCTGCACCAAGACCCTCTCCAAAAACTTCAGACCCGGAAGTCCTTGTGACTGCACCTCTTAGAGGGTCATCCCCACCATTATCACTGCCATTTGCATCATCTTCAGAACCAGCCAAAATAAGCTACAATTGGCGCAGTAGCCATTGAGGTATAGTCGCTTACCATCAACCCCTCTTATCAGCATCCCCATCAGCACTTTGTTCCCCTTGTCTCCATGTGCCCCTATCAGTTGGCTCGAGTCGCTGGGGCAAGGACGTCAGCTCTATTCCACAAATATGGACACAAGCTTGAACTGAACAGTATATCAAGGATCTCCTCTGTCGGGTACACGAGCACTGGAAAGGAGGGCTTCGACGCAACAAAACTAGGCGATTGTCCGAACCTGTCCCAGATATTGCCCGGTGCCTGTGAGCTTGCCCGGCTGGATCATTCCTCGCGTGATGTTGCAGGCTCAGGGCTGGCGCCTAAACTGACGTTGGTTGCTCATTTCAACCGACCAGAAGCCCCTTCAATGCCAGCAGAGACTTATTTTATGACGTTCAAGACAAGCCCACGCGTCAGGTGCCACGAAACACTTCTGCAGTCCTGTGATGTTGGAGAGGATCTGGTGACTGCCTGTGGAGGGCCGCGACAGCTTTGAGGGATATACACTCGTAACCTGGGTCCTTGAATTCGCCGAGGACATTTGACAGCGAACAGGCTAGCTAAATTTTACCTCGTCCTGCAGATCTTTCTACCGTCACTTCGAAGATCAAGCCGGGCAAACCAAAATTACTAGTGAGCAAATGCAATCGGAATGGCACTGGTGCTAGCAATCGTAATCTCATGAGTAACCGAGCTGCGGCGATCAGTAACAACATCAAGCAATGTGCGACACAATTACAGAAGCAGCCGGAGCGGCCTATGGTGAAGGTCAAGTCGGTCCACTCCATGGAGATCTCCTTCGAGGGCTGGGGCATAACAAATCGGGCTACACTGTACCGCAACTCCAAGCACGGCTCCCTGTCAGAAAGAGAAGTTTTCAGCGGTTTGGTCCTCCACATTGGCTTCCTGCGAGAGCTGCCGCGAACACTCCCGGACCTGGTACCAGTAAGCGGACTTTGCAGGGTTTCGGTTTCGGAACCCTAGCGCGTTTCAGGATTTTGGGAGGATAAGGTCTCATGACCCTAAACCCTAAACCCTAAACCCCAAACCCTAAAGGAGGATAAGCCCTCATGACCCCGTGCATGCCCAAGGCCCCACAGCCCAGGCCGCCAGGGCACTTGCCGCATCAGCCCAGAACCTCAAGCTCTGTGCGGCTTGCGGTTTTCGAGGAGATACAAGGTTTGCGGTTATGGGTTTAGGGTTTAGGGTTTAGGGTTTAGGGTTTAGGGTTTAGGGTTTAGGGTTGTAAGGTCTGTACCTGGTACGGACTGCATTTTTTGAATTAGGGTTCGCGGTTCAGGGCATGCGGGTTGAGAGTTTACCAACGCCTTTCTAAATTGCTTCTGGAAGACTTTGAGAATTGAGGCTCTGGGGTACAGTGCTTGATGTAGGGCTCAGGTTGTAAATGCGCTTGGGTTCGAAACCTGGGTGTTGGGTTGGATAATTTTGCAGACGCTAGAGTTGAGGGTTTTAGGGTCTGGTTTGGTAGGTTCGAAGTTTCGATTGCAGATAAGCAAGCAAGATGCTTTCATGGATGCTTGCGGTGCGTAGTGGACATAGTGTTTGCAGGGGTTGTGACTTGTGACGTGCAGAGTTGCACAGCATAGGCTCCGCTGCAAGACTACACTCGACTCAGCCCTAAGCGCTCGGCGCTAAGCATCCGAAACACCGCCTTCAATCCTCAAGCCACGAAAGGGGCCTTAATAATTAGAATGGGGTTTGGGGGCATACTAGACTTTCAGAAAAATAAGGAACCACCAACATAGTATTGTCAATTGTTTCGGCCCCTGCATTAGACCCCGAAAGCCCCTACTGAAGCCCAACGCTCTGCTTTCCGAAGCGCTGGGCCCTCGCTCATCCGGGAAGGTCGGCGTGTCGTCGGTGTCATCCACAGCGTCGCGCCTGAAGGGTGCTCTGGGATCATCACATAACCTTGAGGGTTTGTAAATTTAGGGTTGGGGTTTGGGCGGTTTGGGGGGTTTGGGGTGCAGGTAGAAGGCACGGGGTCCTTCAGGTCAGGTACCCCCACCTCTAAGTAATCCCGATGCTCATTGTGGTTTGAACTCGGCCGGGGCGCAGCCGCACGGAGAGATCCTCGGGCGTCGGCTTCATGGCTCCAGACGGCAAGGGCACCCCACGTGGCAACAGAGAGATGAAATAATGGAGGACCTCGAAAGCCCAGGATTATGATTGCGACAGCGAGTGTAATGGCTACGATGACTCTTTTTTTTAACAACTTGTTGCACCTGCAGCTTTCATTCACCGTGGGGTAGCGGGATTGTGGATGGACGCATGCTCCACGTGGGGGGTGTCCTGGAGCCAGCCGCGGAGCCTTTCCTCACACACCTAAGCCCTAAATCGAAGAGGTCGGGTTTCGGGCTGAGGTCTTTCAGGCTTGAGGGCTCTTCCAGTAGCGCCCTGATGCTTCGGAAGCTTCGAACAAGGATCCTCCAATCTAAAACCTTCCAACCCGAATCCTCTACTCCTAGAGCTGCCGCAGACGAACCATCACTCCAAGCATTGCAGGGTCTAGGCAGACATGGGCAGCTGCAGTTGCACAGGGATGATTACTGGGACGATGCTGGGTGCCTTCAAGCGGGCAAAATGCCACTTGGCGATTATAGGGTCTAGGCCCTATAGGCATTCAGGCTTCAGGTCTCTTTTTGGGCCAGCCAGGCTGCCTCCCTGCAGGGATGTATGTACATCTGTGAGCGGTGAGCTCGTGCAGCAGTCACGGGCTTTGCATTCTCTGCCCTGAGACAGCAACTGTCGGGGCTTTTGGACTCCGGGTGTGTCTTGGGCGCGGGATTTGGGTCAGAGGCCTGGGCTCCCTTCATCGTATTGGCCAGTGCCCTTGGCTGTAGATGCAAGGCAAACAACCAAGCAGTTGGAACGGCGCGGAGGGATGCATCTATGAGTTAGTGGATTAGTTGCTACCTAGCTAGCTAGTCGGTCAGTCAGCTGGCTAGTTATAGTTCCTTGGTTGGTTGGTTGTGTCTGGTTGGCTGGCTTGTTGGTTGGTTGGTTGGTTGGTTGGTTAACTAATTCGTTCACATGCCAACTGTAGCAGCTCATGGCAGAGTCTGAAAACCCGGCCACGCACCGAAGAAACAACGGCCACAGCTCCTGCCGGTGTTCGGTCTCCCGCGGCCCCGTGAAGCTCTTGGACTTGAGATGTGCTGAAGGATCTGTGGTTCTTGCACCTATGCCTAGAAGCCAGTTTACCATTTCAATGGGTTACGATACTACGTAGGGACGGCATCCTACTTCTGCATAGGTAACTGGCCTAGTTTCGTCTGGGTAAGGTTGATGAACATGGTGGTGATGTTAATGATGCTTATGATGGCTCGTACTACTGCGGTTGCTACTGTTGCTACACCACAGCGAACCAGTGAATCGAACCCCACAGTGGTTTTCACTTGTGCCATTCTGAAAACCAGCTTTTGAATGCCAACATCAAGTGGACACGGGTGCGAGCCAAACAGTGAAGCGGCCACTGGCACATGACGGCAAAGCAGCGTTTTGCATTGCCCGTGCCGTCATGGAGGTCATTAACGGTGCAGCCTTCCTAGGCACATAAGGTATCAGTCTTCTTCCTATCCAAACATGACACCTGTGTCACAGAAAAAACTAGGGTCTTCTCATGCTGTCAGCACATTGACTTTCGAATGTTGGCTGCTGGGTCGGGGTGTCTTCTGAGCAAAGGACTACCCACCAGCAGCCCCCGGAGGGAGATGTGCGCGCCGGTTTGAGGGTGCATGTGTGTAGCAAACTTCATCAAGCAAATTCTCTACACAACTAAACCCTGAACCCTAAACCCCCTACTCTCAAGGTTGAGAACAGCAACATTTATGCTTCAGAGAGCCCCCATCACGGCACTGTCACCGTCAAAGAGGCAGAGGGTCCTTGGCTGGACGCTTCCAGGTTCATTGGGCCCCAGGGGTTAGGCGCTTATGATGGGTTGATAACAAACGGCCCCCTTTCAAGAAACTCGAAACGCACTGGCTGGCAAAAGCCGTATGTACGGACTCTATGTGATCACGTACCTCGCTAGTCATTTGTGGGTCTTCTCCAAAGGCTCATCTTCTCAACTCCAATCCGAATTGAAACCCTGAGCTGCAGAAGGCCAGAAAGTCCATGTGATCCTTGCCACCGGAGGTCCCCCCAGACACCAAACTCCCGACACCCTCAGACATGAAACCCTAAACCCTAAACCCAAACCCCTGAAAGCCGAGGCCCCTAAGTCATCAACGCTCATCGCCCCAATGATACTGCAGCACTGCATTTGTAAAACCCCGCCTCCTTTCCCTAAAGAGTGTTGCCTTTCTATCCTATTCTATCAAACCCACCCTAAACTCCAATAGCCTAAAGCCTAATCCCCAAAAGCCCAAAAGCCCTAATCGCTTTTAGCGGCCGGTGCCCACCGCATTGGCCGCCCGGACCTCGCAGGCGGCCGAGCCGGACGAGGCTTGGAGCTCGTGGCTCAGGTCCTGGAGCAGGAGACGCTGAAGCTTTAAGGATAACAAAAAGACATAACACAACATGATGTACTTGGAGAAAGACTACTACATGACAGAATATACTATAGTTTTAATAGGGGCTGGAGGCGTATGTTTGTGAGAGATTTGCAAGGGCTGTTTGTACAGGTTTTCTAGGGTTTACGGAGTTCTTCTGGCGTTTCGTAGGGTCTTTTAGTCTAGGGCTTACCGTTCAAGAGCTCATGGCTTGAGTGTTTTAAGTTTAGGGAATTTGGCGGTTTCAAGCTTCGGGCTCAGTGTTCGAGATTTTGGGGTCCCTGCGTGACGAGTGCCACAAGTACCTTTCCCGATAAACCCCTGTTTGACGTGGTTCTTGTTATCACCAGTGCGAAAGTCTCATGGCCTATCCAATAATGGCGCTGCTTCACGGCTGTCATAAACTGCCTTCACTGCAGTAATCACCCGACTCTGTTCCGCTAAAGGCCTCCAAACTTACAACAACACCCACAGCCCTGTTAGCACGTTTCAAGTTTCTGCTGAGTCTTACCTCGAACCCTGAAGCAAAACACACGGAACGTGGCATGAACGCCATCAGCCCCTATCAAGAAGTCACATGAGACCCTAAAGCTAAACCATCGTTTGCAAGACTCTAAACCCTAAACCTCTAATTCAGTAGCACCCGAGGCCTAACTCCCTAAACTCTGGAACCCTATAGCTCATAACTTGTCTTGCATTCCCAAACCCCGCGCCGTTGCGGCCCAAGCCGCGGTGTTCAGGACCTTCTCCCAGGGATCGCTGTTGCAGCGGGCCTCGAGTTCGCAACCCTGTAGAGCTGCCAACGTCGGCTTTACAGTGTTCCTTCTACGGGGGTTTTGTTAACGGTGAATCAGCACATAAGAGGCCTTAGGGCCTGTGTAAAGATATCACATCCATGTCAAGAACAACACTGCATATTACGAAGCAGCAGCATCCTGGTCCATATGGTCAAAGCAGTACAATCCAAAACCTTAGGCCCAAATCGCCGAACTCCAACATACTGGTCAACAAAGCCCCGAGACCCTGCAAAGCCCATACCCTCGCCAATCTCAGGAAGCGCTGCCTCGTAATGCGTGATGGGCACGAAGCCGTCCAAGCTGGGTATCTGCCAGCTCAAGACCTGCTAGGACCCAGGCCGAAAACTCAGGCGCCTTACTAGGGAAAGGGACCCTAAATCTTGTACTTTGATGGACTGAGGCATCGTGCTCTGATGCAAGGCTCTGTGCCGTCAAACGACTGATGGGCTATGGGATTCTTTTTTGGTAGGGCCTTTATCAGGCGAAGCCTCACCGGCTTATGAGGCAGTTGTAAGAGCAAGTCGCGCACGGCTCAAACGAAAGCAAGGGTGTGTGTGTGTGGGACTTGCGGGAACAGTCGTCGCGGGCTATGGATAGCTGCAACTTACGGAGATTCGGGCACCCTGCGCGAACCTCTGCCCTTCACAAAAAAAGGCAGGAACCAAACACCCTGTCTAACAGCCCGACAACAGCGCAAGCGTCTTTCGCACAGGAGACTCAATGTCAATAGCTGGACTAGGGTATAATCTTTCAGCTCGCAAACTGCAACCCTGCTAAATGCCCTCTGGCGAGCGGCCACGGTGTCGTTCGCCACGCCGCTGAGATCGAGGGGCGCGCTGGGGAGCTGCCCGGTGCTCAGATGCAGCTCCTCTCACGGTGCGTTAATTCTAATTAGGGTGTTTTGTAAGGTGTTCTATCAACCTTTGGCCGGCTTTACAATAGCGGGTGATGCAAGCGGTTTGACGTGGAGTTGCAGGAACAGGCTTGCAGATATTCGGGTGTAGGGCGTAAGGTCGGCAACAAGGCACCATGCGGTTTTCTTTGGCTGCAATCCAAACTCTGAACACCTCGTCACATCTGTTGAACTTTGAGGCTACTGGGCTGCAGAGATGGCACACGGTCCAGCAGTTTGCAAGGGCATGCGGGCTTGGGCTTGAGGGCCTTCCGAGTGCTCTCGGCTGGTAGCTTCGAGGATTGATGGTGGACCTGAGGGTGCGAACTCGATTGCAACTCGAATGCTAAATTCTGAGCCCAAATCCCCCAAAACAGATCTTGTCAATTATCCCAGGCATGCACAGCAGGTCCGTGGTGAAGTCTCCGTAGAAGCCGTTGTGATTCTTCCTGGCATCTGTGTAATAAACCGCAAACCGAAATGCCTGACCTGTTCATGGCTCAAGGCTTGAGGCGGACCACCTGACCTCAATATTGTTCGATTGGATTCCATTCTGCAATATCCTGGTTTCTGGGGCAAGGAATGCCCAACATGGTAATTTGAGGGGGTCCTCTGCGCATGAGGGCTTGGCAGTGGGCTTATCCGGACCTGTGGAAATGTCTGCAGTACAAGATGTTCGACTGGAAAGAAGTGCTTGCTAAGTTGAAGGCCTCGTGGCCTCTCAGGGGAATATCTCGCGGGTTCGACTACGGCTCTCGTCAGTCACCTTACAGGATTTGCGGTCTGGGAGCTTCTACCGGTTGGGGCTGTATCTGCAGTCGTAGACTTGGAATTCAATGTTCGGCCGAGCCACAGTCGCAGCTTGAAAGCCCAGTAGGAGTTCACAGGTGTGCGCGGGAAGGTGTCCTCAGCGAGATCATGGACGCTTAAGCCTGAATCGTCTTGATCCTTGTACCCTAACTCCTAACTCCTATATCCACGGCTGGCGATTTGGGTGAAAAGCAGGCGAAGGACGCGAGTAAACTTCAGCTAAACCGATTGCTCTCCGCGTGCGTTGGATGCACTCCTTCTGTTAGGGTGATGGGCTGTTGTTGGTAATGAAGTTACGTAAGAACCTATTCACAGGACCGTTGCTATGTGATTGCTGTCGTGTCACTGATCAGTAGTACTCTGAGAGTTGCAAGCTTGGAAAGGATTGAAAGCTGATAGAAAGCCTTCAACCCCAACTTGGCTGAAAAGGCGTCTGCTGGCTTTGGAGTTGAAGGAGTCCCCAATCGCAAACGAAGCAAAACATGCAGCTACATGGACCCAGCTGAAACTCGAAACAGCAATTATGCAATCAAGAAAAACAGATATCTGAACCTTAAGCCGCAAAAGTTGCAGTCGCAAACCAAAAAACAGCAACCTTCGTAGTGAGATCATCCGCAGCAAAGCATCAATGGCCACCGATGGCGTGATAGCTACTGGTGGATCTCCCTCAGACGATGGGGCTTCAGCTGAAAGGGCTTAGGGAGGACGGGGGCAGGTACCTCGAGTTCAAAAAACATATACGGGGGGGAACAAGTCTGCTTAAATCGGCACCTCGTTTCATAAATCTGAAACCCAATAGCCACAGCATAGCAGCTAACCAGTATTGTGACTCTGAGCACCTCGAAAGGCGTATCTCAACTGTGCCCATCATTCCGGCACAGTCGAGATATGAGTTCGTAGGTTGAAGAGAGTTATGATTATGGTTCAGCACGGACCCAATTGCTGTCCCTGTGCAAAATTGAAACTTCTAGTATAGTCTGTCCACGTCGCCTTAGCTCCCCAAGTGCATTTCCACAAACCTATCTACCGGGGCTGGCAAATCCAATAGACCTGAATCGTGAATGCCGAAGTAAGCTCTCCAACGATCGCATGATAAAGGGGACTAGAACCCCGTATTAAATCTAGAAGCCCAAGACGATGAAAGTTCTCCCGTTGGCCGAGCCAGCCTGCTGTTGTTGAGCCGCAAAAGGGGCGAATATGCGGAGTTCAAAGGCGGTTATTACAAGGCGGCTAGAGTACTATAACGCGCTTAGCTAGGTTCGAGACCCCCCCCCCCCCCCCCCACCCAAATCTGGGACGTCTCGGCCTCGTGGGCGTTGATCTGAAGGAGGTTCTCCCAGCTGACATTCCCGAAGTTTGGATGAGGCTTGCCTGAAGCTGAAGATAGCTGGTGTGAGGACATACAGGATTACAGAATCGATTTTCTTGTTACTTCGTAAATTGCTTTAAGCATGTTGGGGTGTCTAGAAGTTTGAAGGCTTGGGGCGTCCAGGACACTTCCGCTGACGCGGCCTGCCATCCCGAACCCCCTTCGCATCAATATCCGTCTTGTACCGACGACTTAAGAATGAGAAGAGGAATGCTCCATGTCGGACACCAGTAGAGGATCTGTGTCGGGTTCTCCGTAGATGTGAAAAGTGTTCATGTGAAGCCTCCTCAGGTCTCTGAGACGAAGGTCTCTGAAAGAAACACGGATGATGTTGTAGACTGCCACATTCCGAGGCATTGACAAAGGGGAGCCCCATGCTTTCGCTTATTTCGATATCGGGAGGACCGCTGCTACTGCTGTTGGGGATCAATGTAGAAACCTTGCCCGTCTGAACCCTGGAGTCCTAAAACCACCGCTTTTGTCGAAAACCAGTTTCAGACCAGCATCTTAAAATCCTAAGCCCCCAAAAAGCCCTAAATCCTGCATCTTACACACGCCCCAAAACCCTAAACCCTAAACCCTAAACACTAAACCCTTCAAAGGTCTAGGCCCGAAGAGACAAGGAACCCCAGATGTCGTATTGAAGGCCCAGCTCTTCCCAATCGCTGCTGCCGGCGACGGCGGATGTCACTGGATCCCACGCCTGGGATCGAATTTTGTTTGAGGCTTCTCAGGCTTTAGGGTTCGTGAGCCTTGGCGTTTGATTTAGGGTTTAGGTTAGGGTCTTTATTACAACAAGCAGAGGCTTGAGCTTATAGGCCTGAGGATTCAGGCTTAGGGCTTTTGGCTTTCAGGGAGAGAAGGAATCAAATCCTTGATTCAAGGGTTCAGGGAGTCTAGGGTTTTAGGAGAAAAAGTCCGACATGAATTCGACCAGGGTTTATGTGGGGCTTGTACCACGCATACCTGTGGGAACGTACTCATGAAAACTCGGACAGATGCTCATGTGACATGTCACGTGGCTGTATAAGACGATCGAAGCAACAGAGAAAATTCTGCTTGCTGCAAGAGTACAACACACGGAATTCACGGAATAATCCTGCTTGAGGCAGCGACGAATACTGTAATTATACACTTGGACACATGCTTGGCAAACGTAGCGTTGCATAGTATAGATGCAGCGAAATCCTTCCTAAACCCTGTCCCCCGGGTCAGCAATACTCTCTGATGCCGGACCAGAAACCCTGGAGTCCAAACTCCTACCAAAAACAAAGGTTGCTGGAAACTCCGGGCTACCAGCTGCACAATGCCAGCCGTGATGTCCACGTTGGGATCCCGGACGAGCCCGGTGACGCTTCCTGCGATCGGTCGGGTTGGGGTTCGGGGTCTTCGGGATGAAGGTTTTGCCGCTTGGTTACTAAGGTCTTAAGGAAAACGGGGCCTAGAATTGTATACGTTTTTTAGGGGGTTAAGCTTAGGGTAATAAAACCTAAGCTTACAGACTATAAGTCTATAAAAGAGGGGGTTAGAACATCGGGGTCTTAAGACTTCGGATAGGGCTTTGGGTATATTAGGGAGGTGCTATTCAGGCTTCTGAGTTCTGGTCGGGAGTCCAGGCCGAGGGATGCAGTAGGCCGTCGGCGACCAATCCGACCACGCTGAGACCCCGAGCTCCTTCGGAGATTTAGGAATATCTGGGATCCTGTTTGGTCGAAGTGGGGTTTAGAGAGCCAGCTCGTGCAGCGGAATTAGGTTCTCTAGCATGAAGAGGGTATGGGGGCAGGTTTGACACAACCCTAAACCAACTAAACCCTAAACCCTAAACCCTAAACCGGTTTAGGGTCTGAGGCTCTGGGCCTGTGGAGTTTTCAGGACTTATTGGGCTGAGGGTTCGGGGCTTTGGGGACGAGATTCAAAATCTCAAGTGCTGTCGGCAACAGAGCCAGTGTCTGAAATTGCGACGTCGTCATGCGCTATTGAAGCCCTTCGTTTTGCAGATTTTGGGCTCAGCTGTTTTCCGATGGGAAGTGCACAACTATAATCCAACAGTCTCGTATGCATGTAAATTACATAGATCCCTTATTTCTGAAATTTGCCGCAGCACGTTCTCGGCGCGGATCGCCGCACGGAAGTGCCTGCCCAAGCCACTTCAGTTGCTTCGGAACTCTGGTCGTGGTTCTGCAAACAATTGAAGCAGACCATTGTGGTTTTGCAAGGATTACTGAAGAACCAGTCTACACAGGCGACTACCTCGACGAAATCCCCTTCTGCATCGCTGCTGTCCTCCCCACAGCATAGGCAATAACACAGCTCCAAGAGCTTCCAGCCCTTCTGAGATTCTGCGTCATAGCTAAATTCAGCACCTCCCCTAAGCCCTAAGCCCGAGATCTAACAACCTTCCCAAACCCCTCTGCGTATCTGCAGCTCCAGCCCTGAACCAGGAACCTCATGTACAGCGCAAGCTGTGAGAATAGCTAGAGAACCCCTTGAGAACCCAGCACATACATACATATATATATATATATAGATAGAGTCTTAAGGAACCCAAAACCCTATTCTAATTATAAAGCGCCCCTACATTACACCGCGAAACGACAGCAGGGCCTCCCGTAGACCAGCTCGGGCCAGGAGTTCGAGTCGACGGAGAGCTGCAGCCCGAGGCGCGGCTCGTCGAAGGAGCCGTTCAGGATCCAAACCTCCTCGACCTAGGGTTTAGGGTTTAGGGTTTAGGGGGTTAAGGGGTTAAGGGGTTTAGGGTTTAGGGTTTAGGGTCTAGGGCTTAGGGTCAACTCCAGGCACCTGCTCTTGTAGCGCCTAATAAGGGGCTCTAGTACCCTATATAGGGCCTGATAAGGGGCTCTAGTACCCTATTTATAGTAGGTCTGGGGGGTTAGGGTAACGTTGGTAATCTTTTTGATAATACGTAGTTTAACCATCATGCCGAACAGATGTAATGGGAATAGTGGGCATACTGGTCATAGTTCTATAGTAATAACGGCAATAATCCAGTAATGGAAACACTGATAAGGAACAACAGTCGCAGCCCCAGAGCGTGAGCCGTTCCCAGTGTAGGGTCCCTCCGAGGACTCGGGGCTCTGGAGTCTTATGAGAGCTTTAAGAGATTGGGTTTAGGGTTTAGGGTTTTCTTATGTGAGTTTTAAGAGATTGGGGCCATGCCTGCTGCAAGCTTAGAAGTTGCGAGGGGGGAGGGGTTTTAGACCAGCCAAAAGGCTATCATATACGTGAATGTGGGGACAAGATACAGGGCCACATCCGTAGGAGCCGACAAGTTGGAAGGCGGAATGTTCACAACAAATCGAATGTTTGACAGAGCCAAAATTAAGCCTAATCCACCAGGTACCTACTATTTAGGGCCCTAGGGCCCTGGGGGCTCTAGTACCCTATGTAGTAGGTACCTGGGGGGTTTGGATAAGACAAGCCATGCCGCAAGCAAAGAAGTCTCATTGTCTGACGCCTCGAGCTTGAACTCGTAGCTGTGCACCAGCCTTCCGTTCCTCAAAAGGATTGGGCTCGTTGATCCTCAGGTTTTGTACTCGCTATCCAGGGATCAGGGCATACAAGATGGGAAGACTCGTAGTCGCAGAGCGAAGCGACATAACAGTACATATTCAGGCCAACTCCTCCTTGAACCCTAGAAAGTTCAGAAGCAATGCCAATGAACAATGGCAATGACCAAACGACACTACCGCGAGCATTGCCAACAAATCTAGCATTCATTCAATATAAGTCTAATGACCCGCTCCGCATCGCCTGTCATCCTTCACATCATTTTCACCATGATCAGCAACAACATAGTAGTTACAAGACAAGTACAGGCATTCTCATGAGGTCAATGCCGCTTCGACCGACAGGGTTGACCGGTTGCACGAGTAGTAGCTACAGTGCCCCTAAACAAGACCCGATGTGCAGCAATATTTCGCAGATTTCGATACTGCCCTCAGAAAAGCTACTTGCGAGGGATTGTTGGGGTCTTGAAGGATTCGAACGTAGGAGTTTTTGTCGTGCAGTCAATAAACTCTGCCGCGGGATACCAGCGCCAGTTGAGGCTGCAATTGTCGGCGTCTTCCAACCACGGCGGCTGCACGGTCGGCACGGTGCCAACAGAGATCTCTGCGATGTCGCTGAGAGGCCCGGCACCAAACCTCATTCATAGGTCATAGGTGCGGCAGATTTGGAACTGTGCCACCCCCGCCCCTGTCAAGGGCTTTATCACAAACTCCCGAGTCACTCAATCCAGGGTCCCTTCTTCGAGAACTTTGTTGTATCTCCCTGTTCGAGCCTGTCGCAACTTGTACTCGAAGCCCTTTTTGATGTCTGCCTAAACCTAAAGCTGCAAAACAACTGAAGAAGCCAGGTTCGAAGAAATCCCGCCTTGTTGCGCTATAACCCGAGTTGGCCAAGTGGACCCTTGACGTCTGTCAAGACATGTGGGAGCTCCGGCAAATTGATACAGCTCTTTACTGCAAGGTGGGTGGAGGGAGGTTAGGGCCTGGACCTTCTGTGTTGCTCACGAAGTAAGGCATTTTGGGATGCAAAGTGTTTGGGTAAGGCTACCCAGAACCGCTTGTGGGGCAGTGGAGAAGCAAGTTGTGGTGTTTTGTTGAAGCATGCAGGTCCAACACCGGTCCGGGCAGCTGGTTCAAGGCTCGCACTTGGAAGCGGTACAGCGTTTCCGGAGTCAAGGCCGACACCGAACAGCCAGCAGCATCGGGCACCAGCGATACGCTTACGAGATCCTTGCGCCAGGGACCGGCAGATGCTATTGTCAACGTCGAGAACTCAAGGTGCTCAAGTGAGACGTGTGTGTGTGTGTGTGTGTG